AATTTTCTACTATAATTATTTTATCATAAGTTTTGCTATAACTTGTTAGCTGAAATTATAATGCTATAATTTTAAATCTATTAAGTTAGTTTTTGTTTTCACTTTTAATAAAATCATTTTATTATATCTAATTTTGGTTATAATTTTTTGTTGTCATATTTTGTTGCTAAAATTTTCTCCTATAAATTTGTGCTATAATATTTGTTATAATTTAGTAAGTTTTACCAATTTTTTAAGTTTTAAAATTAGTTTTCAAAACCCTTTTTACAATAACTTTTTTGCTATAATTTTAATTTAATATTTTTAAGTTCAAATTATTTAAATTTTGAGCATGATTTTTTACTTAAGCAAAGTTTTAAAACTTCCGGACTTGTGCGTCAGAGATGTGCAATAAATAACATAGAATACAGAATTTTACTCTCAGCATACAGCAACGGCGCTCATTTCATTGATTAAGGGTTATCAAAAAAAATATGAAACAAATTTAAAAAAAAAAAAAAATATGAAAAAACGAAAAACTGGATTACAAAACAAAGTAAGACCATTGCGAGTTGCGTCTGCAAAGCCTGTTAAAGTTTTCAGAATCTACTAAATTTAAAACGAAATCAGAACTCTAGGAAAAAGCTTAATTAACTGTAACAAATTTTAATATTAAAAATTCCAATTTAAGAAAAAAAAAAACTTTGTAGTATTTGTAAAAATTTTTCTTGGCAATATTTGCCACCAACAAGAATACGCAAACTGTTTTTCATTTCCTTGTTTATATTTTTGCAATCTGAATATGCATTTCAATCTTAAAACTGCAACGTTTTACTTCTCCTTCAACTTCATGCATCACAGCGCCCATACGTCGCTTGCATTTCTCTCATTTCACACCCAAGTCTCCAGCTGATAAGCCGAGACCTCTTACATGCGACGCTTGTGAGTTCACAAGCTTCATGTCTCACTTCATTATGACTCCAATCAGTGCAGCGTATTTGCCAAATTTAAAAACGCTTAAGTTGAGTTTGTTGAAAAATTGAAACTGTGTAAAAGTTCATATATCTTTGCGCTCTTTTTCCAAAGTTTCTGCTTTTTTTTTTATAAAAATATACTACTGTTACCAGTCCATATTATTTTGGTACAAAATATACACCTGTGGCACTCTCTTCGTAATTTCTGAAAATTATGTTTATTTACTCTTTCTCATGCTAGACAGCATTTATCGCTATCTTCACCTACACTCAGCGCTTTTTTACACTCTAGTGCTAATCGGTTTGCTATTGTGTTATCTGATTTGTTGTCTTTATCAATTACGGTTACTCAATTCAAGTTTTAAGTGATTCTCAAACTGAGATAGTTTTGAAAGTTTTGTATGAGATTTTATCGTTTGTTAAATTATTTTGAGGTGAGTGATATTGATTATTCAACTGATTTCCAGTTGTCAAGAGTTTAGTTGTATAGGGTGTATGTATGTTATTTTTGCTTGTATGTTTGTTCTGAATTATGTTTCAGCCAATCTTCAGCGATAACCTTAAACAATCTTCCTTAAACAATTTTTTTTTTAGTTTTAAAAATTGATTTTGTATTTTTTATTTTTTAATGAAATTTATCATAATCAGAGTTTATAACGTCATACGTTTTTCTTTTTTAATCGTTCAATATTTAAGAGATTGTTAGAACAAGTTCTATCGTACTAAGAAAAGTCAGATAACATTCGAGACTCTGAAGTTTGTTGAATTGGCTGCAAATTTAAATCTTGCACTAATTTCGGGACACCCTATTGTATGTCCTACTTGATCTCATGTCGAAAATAGCAATTAAATTTTCAAATTTTTCGGACTTAGTGGACTTAGTTATTTCTCTTTGTGCACTATATTATAGCAACCACATAATTATTTATTCTGTTTATTTGCCTAATTTCGTCTTAAAATAACAAAATCTAAATTTAAGTAAAATTAAAAGTTCGTTTAAGAGGTTTAAGAGAGGAGTAGAAATTTTGTCAGTATCAGTAAAATAAATCTATTTTGAGTTTGAATGATAATTTGACCAAATTTTGAGTTTTTGAATTATTCTTTATTATAAGTTTATACTACAATTTTTCTATACTTTTTTTCTATGATTATTTTGCGATAATTTTGCTATAATTTTTTAATATATTTTGCCATAATTTTTAGATTTTTTTTAAAGGTTTTTTCTATTTTTTACCATACTTATTTTATCAAAATATTCGCTATCACTTTTGTGCAATAATTTTTAGCAAATTTTTGTAACATTTTTTAAATTAGTTTTCACAATATTTTATGCTAAAACTATTTCACAATAGTTTTGCTTTTACAATTATTAAATGTGTGTAAAAGTGTTTACTAGAGTTATTTTATTATAATTTTTTCCACTTTTTGGAGTTTTTTAAATTATTTTTCAAAAGCTATAATAAATATTGACGATTTTATGATAAAATCAATCGATCAATTAGTGCCTACGAGTTCACGTCTACGAAATTATTCTCATTGGCTATCTAAGTTGTTTAAATGCCTTTGTACATAGGTATGTACGTATATTGAAGTAATTAAATGCACTTCAGACGAAAAAACTTTATGACAGTTCGAATGAAGAAAATTTTGGGAGCAAACTTGGAGTTCCAAAATTGATTTCATGTTGAAATAAATCGTTGAAGCAATACTTAAGAGAACTTATTTATTCAAAACATATTTCCTGCAATGAAATAGCTCATTTGATTATATTTGAACACTTCTGTTCAAGAAAATTTTCAAAATTTCTCTTTAACTCAAATTTCGTAACAAAATTTTAAGAACTTCACTTAAAAGCACCATAGCAGGTCTGTAGAGTGAGCTAAAATTGGTTGAAAAATCATTAGTTCTTAGACCTTACTATCGAAAATTAATTGAATGCGTTTTTACACATTAAGTGCGAGTCACTAAACTCTTGATTATGGGGAAATCAAGAAAATTTTTAAAGAAATCCAGTAAACATAATGCAATTTGAGTAGCTTTCGGTGAGTCAAGTGACTCACATCCCTGTCCCAGTTCTTAATATTTGACTTTTACAAAGATATTGAAAGCAGCATTGTGAGCTTTCATATTTCCCATATTTATGAATAATAACAAATTGTTTATTTATAAATAATAAAGTTTAATTTAAATGGCAAAAAATATCACTAAAAATAATTGTAAGAAATACCGAAATAAATTCACTTTTTTTATGACATCAGTTGGCTGACTGATAACTATGGGCAAAGCCAAGGTTATGCACACTGAGATTGTATCGAACACAGTCACACACACTCAGGCAACCGAAGAGACGTAGCCGCTCGTAAGAATTAATAATTACAAAACTAAAACACCCGCACATACATGAAATATATATATATAATAATGTGTGTGTATATATACTTAATTTATGTGTGTATATATAAATGTAGATGTATGTACATATATGCATATGCGCTGACTTGCCTGCTTGTGTGGTTGTTGTAGCTCCTCACTATCTTATCAACAAAACACCAAAAACCAAAAACAAAAAGCAATGCCAGAAAATGAAAGTAAAAGCAAATATAGCAACAACAATAAAGGCAAGTAAAATGTGCGAAAATATGTAAAATTCTATTGAGACAAGCAAAGGACAAAAACAACAAGTATTTACTATAATGACCCGCTATAAAAATTATAATACATACATGCGCATGCATAGATAATAGAACAGTTAATACGAGAGCAAGAAACGACATATACAAATAGTGTAAAATAAAGCCACAACAACAACAACAGTAACAAAATATCAAAATCAACAACCAATAAACATTTTAGAGTAACTGTGCACTGACAACACAAACAACAACACATATATAGAAAAAGAGAACAATAGCAACAACAAATACCAAAAAAGCAGAATACAACAACAAATGCACAAAACCACTAAACTACAAAACCACGACATGAAATAAAAACAAAAACAACAACAAGTCATATAGCATCACATGCGAAACAACAAAAACAACAACAACACGTTAAAAATACAACAACAATACAATAACATATTTGCATATAAAAACAAAACCAATAACAATGCAACAACAAAAACAACAACATCTCCTATAACAACAACAATTGCAGTTATCACACCAATAAAAACATGAAAAGAAAAGAAAAGAAAAGAAAACAACAA